CGGCGACCGGCGGCGCCCCCGGGGGCGGGCGGGAGCTGGAGATGCACACCATCAGCTCCAAGGTGTTCGGGGACATCCTGGACTTCGCCTACACGTCGCGCATCGTGGTGCGGCTGGAGAGCTTCCCGGAGCTCATGACGGCCGCCAAGTTCCTGCTGATGCGCTCCGTGATCGACATCTGCCAGGAGGTCATCAAGCAGTCCAACGTGCAGCTCCTCGTGCCCCCCGCACGCCCTGACATCATGCTCTTCCGTCCGGGGGCTGCCGACCTCGGCTTCCCTCTTGACATGACCAACGGTGCCACTTTGGCGCCCAATGGCAATGGCATCGCTGGCATGCCTGAAGACGAGGCCACGCGGGCTGCGCTCAGCGCTGCGCAGTCCTCCCTCCCTGTCCTGCAGGGCGTGGACCGCCTGCCCATGGTGGCAGGACCTCTGTCCCCACCGCTGCTGGCCTCGCCCTTCCAGAATGTTGCTGCTAGTGCCCCCACTTTAAGCACCAAGAGGGGCAGAGGGCGTCCCCGTAAAGCCAATCTCTTGGACTCCATGATGTTCGGTAGCCCAGGGGGCCTGCGGGAGGCTGGGATCCTGCCTTGCGGTCTCTGTGGGAAGGTGTTCACGGATGCCAATCGTCTTCGGCAGCACGAGGCTCAGCATGGGGTGACGAGCTTGCAGCTGGGCTACATAGACATCCCACCCCCGCGGCTGGGTGAAAATGGTGTTCCTGGTCAGGACGACCCCGACGCGCCTCGAAAAAGAAGCAGGACGAGGAAACAGGTGGCCTGTGAGATCTGTGGCAAGATTTTCCGGGACGTGTACCACCTGAACCGGCACAAGCTGTCACACTCTGGCGAGAAGCCTTACTCTTGTCCGGTGTGTGGCTTGAGGTTCAAGCGGAAAGACAGGATGTCCTATCATGTTCGATCGCATGATGGCTCTGTGGGAAAGCCCTACATCTGCCAGAGCTGTGGAAAAGGCTTTTCCAGGTAAGAGAGCGCTTGTATGGACATTGACACAAACAGACCTAGGGAGCTGGCTTTCCTGTCCTTTGGAAATGTGCTTAGGATAGTTTGACTGTTCCACTTTAGAATGTGTAAAGGAATGAGACTTCCATCATTTCCTCTGAGATGCTGTTCTGCAGTCTCTGGAAAGGGTTTAACAGTAATGAAGCCATTGAACTGGGAGTCAGTGGCTTCTGGCTAACGTTCCCAGCTTTGTCCCAGAGCTGGTGTGTGCGTGTCCTTGGGCAAGCCAGCCAGGCTCTGCCTCAAATGACTCTTCTGTGAAATGGATATGGAAATAATTACCTGCCTCACAGAAGTGCCTTGACATCGCTGATGTGTAGGTAGCTTGAAGGTGCTGTTGAAGTGCAAAATAATACATCTCAAGATTATTATTTTTCTCGTATCCATTTTAAATTTTCTTTTTCTTAACTTCCCTGTATTTCTCTTAGTTCGTAATGTTTTTTATCACCCAAATGTGAAGGAAGAGGTGAGATTTCAAAGGCTGCAGCATCAAGTATCTTTTAATACATGATCTTTGTGTCCTTTGGGTTTACATCCTTCTGAAGGGGATCCTGTTTCTGCCCTGCAACATACGTAAGATCTGTGCATTTAATGTTGCTGATTTTTTGTTGTCGCTGTTTGTGGGAGCTAATTTAATAAGTAGTTTGGTACACGTAGTTGTTTTAGTGGTATCTTATAGTCCTGAGTTAATGAATTCGAAACTTTTTTGGAAGTTTGCCTCTCGCTTTGAGTGTAGAAGTAGTGGGGGGAGGGGGATGTACTCTGCTATTTCTGTACCAGCAGTCGGTTTTCCACAGCACTTGATTTGCTCTGACGTGAGGCAAGGACTCGAGATCTGAAAGCAAATCAAAAGGCCACCAGGCTGTGTAAATTGTGGAATTTTGCCCCTGCTCTTTTTTTGATAGAGGGACTTACGTTATTGAAATCAATTATGAAAATGTAGCCCCCCCCTTTTTTCTTTGAAATCGGCGGTAATTAGGGATGCCTCTTCATAAGGCACTGCAGATTGAGTGATGGAAGGTCACAAAATGAAAATTTCATCTGTGGCTAGAAGTGAAAGTACTTTTCTTACTATAGCGCTACCCGGGATCGTGTGCCAAGTTTCATTGTTTTCATTGACACTTAAAGATTTCTGCTGTTGCTGTATGAAAGGTTTTTGTCATTAAGGGGAAGTGAGACATCCACGTTGAGTTCTTGTTTTCCTCATCAAGTTCATGTGAACAGGCGGGAATGCTGTTACAAAAGTTAACAACAAACCCGTTCGCCTATCTGTAAAACCGAAGTATGAATGAAAACTAGCGACTCTTTAAATTTCAGTGTTCACTCTTAGGAGCAGCCAGAGGAAGTTGGAAGTGTGCTGTGTAATTTCAGTGCCCTTTGCTGTGCTCAGCAGCGCTGAGGTTGCTGCGCTGGAGGCACCCAGGGACCCCGAGCAGTCGGTGCGGTTGCACCGGCCCAGCCCCGCTGCACCGCGCAGCCCGTTCGTGTCCGCAGGGCGTGAATTCCAGCCCGCGCCCTCTCATTGGTGCCGCCGGGAGGTTGGGGGAGGAGAGGCTGGAGAACTTGTTTCCAAGCAGTTTTGGTCTCATACAATGAAAAGCTTTCTTCCCACTAGGAGAAACTCCCACCAGGACAATCTGCAGCTCTTCAGTCCTTTCTACTTCCAAGCAGGCTCTGCTGGTTGTGAAGAATGCTCTAACTTTCTACAGTAATGATTTGCTCTTCCATTGCAACTTCTAGTTGGAATATTCAGAGCACTTTATTTGTATTAATGCAGTCTCCCTACCAAGTTGTAAGTTAAGAGCATTTTTTCATCTTGCAGGTGGAAAATGTGTCACAGCAGCAGAGTTTAGACAGTCTTTTTGCAAGAGGTGCTGAAAGTTGGCTTTTTACATCTGTGTTTAGGACATAAACCAAAAGGGTGTGATTTTCAAATATTCAGCAACTGTAAATCAAAGTGCCCTGATTATTAAGTTCTAAATATTCTAAATAGGATTTTGGATGGGAACATGCAGGCTTGCAAATCATAACTTGTATTTCCTATTTCTTCTGATCATTCAGTCCTGATTTCTTCCTGAGAAAATGCTGCTTTTTAGCAAGTTGCAGAGGGTACATAACCAGGTAGAGTCCCAGTTGTTGACAGTCTGGTTCTTGGAAAGTTAAGTATCACTACAATTGTCATAATAGATACAGCACTGGGATATTTTTTTCTTTTATTTTCTTTTTTTTTTTTTTATGTTAAAATTGTAACTTTAGTATTTGTTTTAAGTGTGCTTATGTGTGTTTTCCTTTAAGGCCAGACCACTTGAATGGACACATCAAACAGGTGCATACCTCAGAGAGACCTCACAAGTGTCAGGTAGGAGCCACAGGGGTTTAGACTGATGTTTGGGTAATCTTTGGCATTGCATTTATATGTGCAGACCATTTTGAAATACCATGTATCTATGATTTGGGATGAATGTGTGTAAAGAACAGTGTTCCACAGTGACATCTGCTTTACATCCCTCCCTTCCCCTCTCACCTCACCTACACCTTTGGTGCTCCTGCCTGTCCCCCTTCCCCTGCTGTGCTGTCCCAGTCTCACCCTGGATCTCTGACCCAGCCACTGGCCTTGCAGTCCCTGTCACTGATGATTCCCTCCCTTTTTTTTACTTGCAGTTGTTGCCATCAGGAGGCTCCAATGCTAATTTCATTTTTTAATAATAACTTAAAAAAATTAGTAAATTGTAATTATCATAACATGTCAATATACTATTTTTTAAAATTGCATAGCCTTCAGAACATTGCACTGAGCAAAATTGGAAGCTTTTCTATCTCAGGGAGAATATGAATAATGACACCACAATATCCTTTGTTGTACAATGTCATCATGTTGTATATGGTTTTTTATAGTTAATAAGGTTTGAAAGATCAAATGAAGGAAGATACTTTGTAATCCATTTATAGAAAGATTTAAAAGGTGCCTGGAAGTATCAATTAACACAAAGTTGAGAATCAGCTTCCACCATCACACACTGCCATCAGAGAGATGTTGGGCAAACTTTTAAAACAGTTGTTGGGCTAACAATCTCCATGCTTGGCTTCTGAAGAAATAGTTAATATTTGTCTAAAGAAGCTGAAGCAAGACTCTATTCTTTTTTTTTTTTTCTTTTGAGGACAGTGAAGGTTAGAGGATTTTTTCCTTCTAAAATATTTAACCGTGTTTTATGAAGCTAGACAATCCCACATGATTGCTGCCTCCTGATCTGCATTGTTGCACGTTTTGACACCTATATTTCCTTCAAATTGTGAGAGTTTTGAAACATGTTGAAATTTTAAGAATCCTGAGAAGTTTTCCAGACAGCTGCAGCCATCTAAAGGTTTCTGTTGACATCCATATGATCTGTGAAAGCCCAGCTCATTTGAAAGTCAGCCCATAGAGCTGTCCCATTGATTTAACTGCATAAAGCCTTACATTGGCTCAAGTGTCTTGAGGTGATTTATGGGTTACAGATTTATACAAACCAGAAAATTCCACTCCTAAAAAGAATTCACAGTGTGGGGACAGTGAACTGATGATGAATGTTTACATCCCAACAGGAACATTGGCTGAACACTTTTACAGATAACACAGATAGCTGAGAATTGTCCTTTGCCAGCTGATGACTGATAATTCTTTTATAGTTTAACCTTGATTTAAGAATATTAAATACAAACTGTGTGAATCAGAGGATACACTAAGAGCTCAGAAGTAAAGAAACATGGAAGCTAAGATGGCACAGCCAAGCTCAAGTCCATTTCCTTGCACACATGTATTTTGTGATAGCAGTTTCCAAGAGCAGTCTTTCTTCCTGTGTGTTATCTAAAGTGCCATAATACTGTGCACTGCTCATTTCAGCTAAAAGGTACAGCTATAGGTTACAATCACCAACACAGAGTTGAGATTGTCCTTCAGGCTTGGGTTGTTCTTGATTTTTCATTGCTTAGTCCTGCAGAGTTAATTTTTCGTGAATCTTAAGGTGCAGAAAATTTAATGACCTGTTGTATCTTTGGAGAAAATGCTTTGCAATATCCTATCAGATTTAGAAAGTCTTCTTGAATATCCCCAGATCTGCTGTACATTGTAGAAACCACAGAGGGGATGCAGTCACTGAGAACTTGTTCCAAATATGAAAACTGATGAATAAATTGATGATGTCCTCCCTGTGATTATCTCATAATCAGTCATGCATCTGTTCCTTTATATGTATCTAACATAGGATCTGGCCACCAAGAAGGAAAATAGCTTCATATTGGCATGTTGTTTGCCCATTTTCCATTCTCTTTTTCCATTGATTTTGTTTGGCAAATTAGCTCCCCCTGAGAGCAGCCTGAACAGCATTGAGGATCCTTTTTGAGTCTGTTTAGTTCCTGTTGAAAATTCCTGTTATTGTCATGCTTTGTTTATGTTTACTGGAAAAGAGAATTACTCCATAAACAGCAGAGCACTCCAGAATCCTCTGTTGCAATGGCATTTTTGAAATTTGTGCTCTGTTGTGATTTAAACAAACTGGCCATTTACCTGAGCTCTAAGGTATCTTTGCAAACTGGTGATAATGTTTTGTTGGTGTGGCATCACAGCACCCTTTGGAGTACCAGAAAGTGGGAAGGTGTCAACCCAACTTCAGAATGAATGAAAGTATGAGAAACAGGACAATTTTAAGCTGAACATCCCTGCAGCAGCAATAGTTTTCAGTGCTCAGTTTGTAACCCTGCACTCATCCCCTGAAATGACAGCTGTGCTTCCCAGATCTCTCACCAGTATCCTGACTTGCAGCACCTCTGATGCCAAAGCCTTCCTCCAGCTCTGCCAGTGCTGTTCATGTGGGCTCAGGTTAGGGAACATCTCCCCAGAGCCAGAGCAGCTGAGAAATCAGATCCAGGGCAAATGGCACTCTGGATCTTTTCCCCTGGATTGTTGCACTGGTGAATTTAGAGTTTTTTCCCCAGTCTGGCAGTTGAGTTCTGGCTACAGGAGAAGGAGTGAGTCTGGTTGGTGGCCAGAATGGGGCAGCTCAGTTTCTGACCCCACGGGATGGGGTGAAGCTGTCAGTGTGTGAAAGTCAGGCTGCAGTCTGGGAGCAGTGATCTGAAAATCTGGGCACATGAAAGAACAAGGGGAGAAAACACAAGTTTGCTCCTCTCAGAGACAAGACAGGTTGTTCATCAGGCAAATTAAATAAAATTAAAAATGCTGGTTAAAGTAAAGCACAACTTAATTGGCATCCCAAGTCCAGTGCGTATCCCATTGATTTCAATGCAGAATGAGTTTCTTCCTGTCCTAATTTCTCTTACTTCCTGCCTATTAGCAGGAAAATGGCAGCCACCATGGAATAAGCTCAGAGACATCCACATCCATAGAAAAGTTGAAACTTCAAGAGGTATTTCTTAAACAATGTTTTTAAACTTTATATATTCTTTTTGATCTATTTATATACCTGTACAATGTTTGATAGGAAAGCACTGGAGAGTTTTCTTCTATGATTAACAATTAATGACAAATACTTAGCACTCATTTAGCACTTCACATCTTTCATAAAATAAAACTTTTTTTTTCTCTATACCTTTTATAAATATTAACTATTTGAATATTAACTTTGGGATTTTTCTTTAACCCTAGTCCTGTCTCCCATTGTTATGATTCAGCTAAACTGGTTCTTGCTTTTTCCACTGGACTTAATTATTGTTTTTAAGCTTTGTTGCAGATATATTTATTATATAGCTTATCCAAAGGTGAGCTTTACACAACTCAGCAGCAACAGTGAGAAATCAAACACATAAATTTTTATATTGCTTTTGCCCAAGCTTTCAACTTGCTGAGTTCACTGTGGGATAGATTTGGTTTTACTTTGGCATTGCTGTATTTATGTGATTTGTCTCTGGTCTGCTTCTCATTGGCTAAAGCACTCCCAATGCTCGGGTATGGACCTGCCTGTGGCTCCATTTAGAGTTATTGATGATGGATCTCTTGGCTGTCATTGTTGATACTGTAGTGATAAATCTTTAGCTGATAGCCAGCAGATTGATTGGCATCAGTGCTGCCATCCTGCCTTAAGAGAGTGCTTACCTCCAAGAACACTTTAGTAAGTGAAAGCTGCACCTGTTTTGCTCAGTGCTGTGTACTGAGATCACAAATGAAGAGAAATCTTTCATGTTTAAGAATTTACCTTTTAAACCTCGATACTTGTAATTTATAAATCTTTGGCTGGTGGGCCTAGTTAAACTGTGTATGTTGCAGAAATCCAGATAATTTTACTGTTGCCCTTTCAATTTCATTAAGTCCTGATCCTCTGGGGTGTAAAGTCTTGTGCTTGCTGCAGAGCAGCCTCAGCTCCATGGGAGTTTTCCACACTTGAGCATCTCACAGGATGGAATGAGTGTAAAGCCTGGTGAAACTGATAGGTGCTTTTCAGCTGCCTTCAGTGGTTTTTGGATTAAGCTCTTGATTAACTGAATTCTATGTAATTACATTGTTCTCTTCTGTATTATCAGTTCCACTTACTTGAATTATAATTTTGGAATTTTACTAAGATTGTTACTTTAACAAGTCTTTTCTCTGTTGAAACAGTGGTTTAATTACACACTGATACTTAAAAATACAGTTTATACCCAGTTCCCAAGACAGTGAGCAGCCTCATATTATTTTTTGGAGGGTCTGGTAATATCTCTTAAAACTGTGATATTTTCTATGAAGTTGGTGTAAACAAAACACTGTACACTCTTGAATGTCACTGCTCTGGCTTGGTCTGGTTGTTCTGATGTGTGTTTGCTTTTGTTTCTCCTCTTGCACTTGTGAAATGGTTTAGGCTATAACTCTAATCCTTGTGCAGCATATTGCTGGTGATTTATTTCCCCTCACACATTAGAGACACAGCAAGCCTTTCAGGCCTGGCAGGCCACTGGAACAGGCTGTGGGCACAGCCTGCCTGCCCATTGCTGGGGCTGGAAAAATCGCAGGGAGCCTTCACTCACCATGCAGATTTCAGCTGGAAAGTGGGCAAATAGAATCAAAATTACCTTATGCCAAATGAAGCTTGTTTTGTGGCACTAAGTGCCAGTGGTAAGTTAAACCAGATTACAATGTCGTGCAGTTATTTTGATATCTGCTCAGTTTTGAGGCTTCACTGTTACAGTTTGTCTGCACTGCTGCTGTGGATACCAGGATGACTCTTCCACTGTCTCTCATCATGTTGTCATCCCAGATAGTTCTGTGATCCTTTGTTTGTATGTCTTCACACTCCAAAAGAATTCTGTGTGCTGAAGTTAGATTTATGTCATCAAAGAGTAGAATTGAGGAAAATGACAGAGAGGACATTTGAGTGGTTTAAAGTGATAGTAATGGCTCAGTAAAATGGCAGAACTTATTGTAAACACAGCAAAGTGGTTTCTGCTATTTCTTTTGTTAAATATTACTTAAAATTTTAATATCTTTATCCTCAGAAAGGAGCTAAAACCTTACAAGTCTATCTTGGAGTAAGTTTTACTGTCTGTAGTGTGTCAGAGCTGTTTTCTTGCTGCTTTAATTCTTTTGAGTGGTAACATTACAACTTGTGCAACGTGTTGGTGTTCTGAATTTTTTATCTGGGGGAAAATGCCTTATGCATCATCATGCACAGTACCTAAGGTATTTACTCTAAAGAATACTAAATCTATTCAGCAATATCAGTGCTGTCAGCAGAGCTGACATGGTTGTGTTACACCTGCAGACCTGCAATGCTTCCTTTGCCACGCGGGACCGGCTGCGCTCGCACCTGGCGTGCCACGAGGACAAAGTGCCGTGCCAGGTGTGTGGGAAGTACCTGAGAGCAGCATACATGGCAGATCACCTGAAGAAGCATAGTGAAGGACCAAGCAACTTCTGCACTATCTGTAACCGAGGTAATGAAGAAACTGTTTTTAATTGCACTGGGATGGGCCAGCACCCGAGGGGAGCTGTAAAGGCTGCGTGACTCTCTGCAACAGGAGGAGGTTGTACCCTCTTTGTGTCCATACTCTGCTTTTGCTGCTGAATCCTTAACCCTGAAACTGATGGAACACAGATCTGGCCTTTTCACATGGCTCCCAAAGAAATCTGAAACAAATTTTATTTGCCAATAGCCAGATCCCTCTACAATAACCATGCTTACTTGCATTGCTGCTGTTCAACGTACATCTTCTTATTTTTTTTTTCTATACCTGATTAGACTGGAGCCCTTGCAGTCAGTTTGGAAGACTGTTTTTGTGTCTTTGAAATACACAACATGGAGCCCTTGCAGTCAGTTTGGAAGAATGCTTTTGTATCTTTGAAATACACATCAAGTTGAAAATCATACATTGAACATAAATCTGCATTGTGTTACTAAGTATTACTTAACCTCCTGGTGCAACAGAGTCAAGCTGCTTCTCCCTCTTAATTGCTTTGTGCTAATGTACATTTCTAAAACATGCTTTGTAAAGAGCACTGGAAATGTGGTTTACCTTTATTTGTACAAATCCAGCTTTTCACAGTTAGAAGGGACCCATAAAGATCACCAAGTCCAACTCTCTGCTCCATGCAGCACTATGTAAAACTAAACCATCTGACTAAGCTTGTGAAGCTTTTCCATCTTTTTTGGTACTCTTCAGTTGGAGAGAGTTGGAAATTTAGGCTTTGTGAGATGTAAGGCAAGCTGGAAAAAATATTTTTGACTTACTGGTGGTTTTTTTTTGAGGGATTGATTCACAACTTCAAAATGCCTTTTTGGCTCACACAGGTATCCATAGCCAGTAGGTGTTAGAAGAGATTGCTGCTGTGTTTTGGGATTTGTTTTTTCTGATGAATCTTTTTTCCTAACATGTTCTTTTTTCTAGTTTAAGAGAGGTGAAATCTTTTGAGAAAATAAAGCTCTCCTGTGTTTAATGTGCAGACTGTACAGGGAGCTTGTGGAGTTGATGAGTAGTGAGACATTAAATTGCAAGGGAGGTGTTTCCTTGTTAAACAGTCTGGAAATCCTGAAAATGATGTTATCAGTGGGAATGGAAAAGGCATCTGGGTTGAAAACCTTCAGGTTTTGAAGCTCCAGGTAGATGGTGTGAAATGCAGCTTGCCCTCCTTTGCTTCTGAAAAACAGAAGTTTAGGCTTATCCTGATTCTTTTTGTGGCAACAACATGGAAGATGTTGTGTGAGATCCAGGTGCTGTCCTGCTCCCCTCCCGTTGAACATAGTGCCAGACAGAAACTCAGATGGGCTGGGAGGAATTGTCTTGAATTTCAACTGAACTACCACTGGATGTCACTGCAGCTCTTTGGAAATGGAGCCAGAGTGACAAAGACAGACCCGGCATTCAAACAATAAAATGACTGAGTGGTTTATTCACATTTTACAAGTCTAAATGTACAGTGGGAATTGAAATAAAATATATACTTCTGTAGAAGGATAGGGAACCTGTTGTACAGCAAACTTTAAGCAACTACTTTCTTCTTACAGTTTGTGTATTTTATGGGAATTGTCACAATTGTCTGCTGTGAATTTCAGTTTGCATCAGGATTTAAAAAATGTAATTATGAATAATGAATAATGTTAAGTTTCATAGGAAGTGTTAAAATTCATAGGAAGGGTAAGCTACAGACTGGATTTATCAAACAGCTGTGTTGTAACTCATTGCTTTATGCTGTAAATTTTGGTTATAGATTTATGATCAATGACAGCAGAATTTTTAATCCCAGGTGTTCTAGAATCAAAGTATAATGTTCATTGTTTTAAATAATTCTTTTCTAAACTGTAGAGCCTGGCAAGATGAAGTGTAATGGGAAATTTCTGGATTACAAATACCTGTTTGATAGGCACTGGTGCAGTTGGAAGGCCCACACAGTAACCTGATCACAGCTGTGCCATGGCTCAGCTGCTTGTGCAGACACATTTTGTTTATTCTTCCCGTGGCTAATGTGCTGCTGTATTTTTTAATTGAAACTTAGCTGGTTCTGAATATAGTAATTGTCAGCCTCTGGATATAGTAATTGTCAAGCAAGAATGCTCTGCAAGCTCAAGCTGCTTGTGGAGAGAATTTTGGATGTTGGCCACTTTAAAAAAAAAACAAAAAGTGGGTGGAAAGGTGACATTCCTGGTGTTAATGACAGCCTCAGACTCCCTGAGTTTATCCCACTGGACTGAAGGTTTGCTGTGGGCCTCAGTGAGGTGTCTGGTGTTGTTTGAAAGGTTTGATGGCTGTAGGAGATGGGGTGGAGCTCAGTAGCTGGCAGAAAGGAATAGGCAATAGTTTGCCATGTCAGGTGGCTCATTTGTTTATCACACCTATTTCTCTTACAATGTTGTGGTGTAATTTTAAAAAACTACCAGCTGTGAGTTGTTTTTTCCAGGTTGTGTCATTACTTGAGGTCTTTATGCTTGGAGTAATCATGGAAGCAATTAAATCTTGTTAAATCAGGGAAACAGTGAAGTGGTTTGGGGGGTTTTGCATTGGGGTTTTTTTTTTCCTCCTGGGATTTTGGGGGTTGTTTCT